ATATGTATATGTGTGTGTATATATGTGTGTATATATATATATATATATATATATGTATATGTGTGTGTATATTCACTTTATTTATAGTTATAAATTATAAATGAGGAGCAGGCTCCAGACATCACAGTGCAAAGTGGTGTGGAGTCAGAAATCACAAATATGTAATATTAAATGTCAGTATACAGATATACAATGCATGTGCAGTACACATAGAATCAGCACTGATGGGTATTGGGACTTTTCTCATGGTTCCAGTCCCTGCTACTGAAATTAATGGTGACAAAACTCAACAGAATGTTTTAATAATAATAATTATTCATTTTAAATAATAATTTATAATAATAACTTCTGTCTGAGCACCACAGATACAATTTTAATTGATCAATGTTGACACAGAGCATTTTAAATCTGAGTCTTCTGCAAACTCTGTCGGGTTGGGACTCTTTGGCTGTGGGTTGCCCTAAATCTCTGCTCCTTTTGTTGTAGGATTTGTTCAGCCGTTTTGCTTATCTTGCCCTTCCTCAACTGAATAAACTGGATCAGCCATTGAAACTGTACAAACATATTAGCTGCCCTCAGACATCTGGTCATTTTTTAAACTAGCAACATATTATCCAGAATGACTTTAAATGAGTTTCTATTGCCGATGGAGCTCTATTTGGAAAAAACAGAAAAAGAAAACACGCTTGATGTGGCTCTTGTTCTGCTTTCTACAGACCTGCGGCTGTTACTTTTCTACCTCCAGCCAGCGACGTTCACGGTTCTACTCAGATCCTACAGAGGCAGTCAAAGATATCCCAAATGGAGCTACCATTCTGGTAGGAGGTAAGAAATACAGACTCCAATGTTGTAGGATGGTTACATACACACCTCAATGACAGTGCTGCTGTTAACTGGCGAAAAGTACCAAAGGATGTTCAACAATGTGTGTTCAATAACCGCTTTACAGCAAAGTAAGCATGAACTCTGTCTAACATGGGGGTTGATTAGCATCCACACACACAGAGCACACACAAATTCCACTGCTCTTATTTATAGTCAAGTTCAGAGTGACATTGTTAAACATTTTCCACCGTGTCAAACTTGAACTGACAAACAGTTGAACTGAAATCTCAGTGTAATATTAGAAATGTTGACTAAGATGTTCAACACAATGGGCTGGAGTTACCTGGCGCTTGATCCAAGGTTTACCAAGTTATGTCTGCCATGTCCCTAATCCACCAAGTGAAAGTTTCACCTTAAATTACCATATTTTAACCATTTCACATTTTTTGCAATGATTCCTTGGTCGCTTCAATTTCTTTTGTTTATTATACATTCATTTATTTTTTGGTGTTCTAACACAGGCTTTGGATTATGTGGTATCCCAGAAAATCTCATCAACAGTTTACTGAAGTCCGGTGTTAAGGGTCTCACAGCAGTCAGCAACAATGCAGGGTAAGTATGCGGCCTGCATGTAAACATATGCTTGAAGAAAGGAGTGCATTCCATGGTGGTGTTTGATTTTGATATCAATTTTACACCATCACCACCACTCCAAAATCCCAACCTGTTTTTCAAGAGTTCGTGTATTGATACAGTAAAGATGAGTTTGTTTATCGACTTCCGGTCATGTTTGGATTCACATGTGACTCTTGAAATGTCTGCAGTGTCATGTGTCATTTCTATTTCAGTAGAAGGTCTGTGAAAATGACGTTCAATCTGACTCTGGTTGCTCTCCACTCGGCTCTTTCACCAGGTTTGGCAGTTACGTTTTGGTGACACCTCTATTAGTAAAGTCCCCATTGCAACTGACGTGAAACAAGATGGACTTGTTCTTTGTGACTACATTATTAAACCAAATAGAGATTGGTACAGTCTTAATCCTTCCCCACATGTCCCACTCATCGCCTCTAATAAATGATAGTACTAAAAACAGGAGTCAGTGAGTGAGACTCTCTCATGGCCCCTTTCACTCTCTCCTGTGTGACTCTCTAGCTAATGAACGCTTTAAATTCATATCGGAGAGGTTTTGGTGACCTTGTCGTTATATCTTCAAACAAGCGGTGTTGACCTGGAGAGTTGCTCAGATGTTTGCTTCTGATAAGTTATCCAAGTTGCAGACACAAGCAAAAGGTGCATTTCAGTGATGGCCGCTCCTTCAGTGGTCAGGTGATATTGTGTGTGATGTGTGTCTTTGCTCTCAGTGGGGCAGACTTTTAAATACTTTGAGAAGCTTCTCCTCTGGCACATGGCAATCAGCTGCTGACCTCAATGTCCTTTTATTATGTATTCTATCTTTTTATTGCATACATTGTTGTGCAGTATTTCAAATCTCTAGATCTAGGCATTTATTCTGCTGGGTTCACAGCTCAATACAAATTGTAAAAATAAAGTGGGAGGCAGCCTTCATGTAAGGTTAAAGTCCGGAAAGTTAAATAATTTTCAGTAAGACTAAGACAGTAAATTTACAACTAGGGTTGTGAAAGGAAAACAAAATAAATATTTTAAAGTTCTGATAAATGATATTTAAGACAACAACATTTGCCAATATACTAGCAACTGAGCTTTTCACTGCAATTTTGCTGGGCATTGTCCAGCATAATGTTGATCTCTATTGCAGACTCAGAAACAGTCTTTGTCTTGTCAGTTGTCATATTGCAGCCTTTTTCCGTAATTGAATCCCAGTGTGCTGCCACACGGTAAGCATTAGAATGTGAATTGTTTACATAGCAACACTGAAACTCAAGACAATGACCAAAACCTGATCTTGTCTCCTGAAATATTAAAAAGATCCTGCAAAAATACATTAGTTGCTTTCTTTATAGCTAAATTATTTTCTTTCTTCTTTTTTTTTTGAAAGCATGTTTTATAAAAAATATTAACCTTCAACCTAAATTTAATTTGCAGGCACAGAACTTAAAATTCTAACTGTTTGAATTCTCTTTATTATGTTTTTTGGCATGAAGCTAAAGCCTTTTTAAGAAACTTCACTCTGCACACAATACATGTATTAGAAAGGCCATTGTGAATGTCACATCTGAAAACATTTGAAGCTGTAAACAAATAGGTTAATTCACTCTGAAATCAATTACAATATGGTCTGATATTCTTATTAAGTATATTGCACTTTCATTGCATTTCTACTTACCTATAAACTTCTTTGCATGGATTGTCATAGCTAAAAAGCTATTGTCAGACCTAATGGTGGCTATTTTGAGGAACTTTGAGGCTGTGTGGTTATTTTGAGCAAATTTGAGGAACTCAACTCATTGTAGTATGCAGTACCTATAGTGAAGTGTAGCCTCAGCTTCAGAAAGGACTTGCCTACACTTTTAATACTGAAAAAAAAGGAGGTTTAGAATCACATAAATTGTGGCACACCAATTCTTATTGCCAAGTACCAGAGTTTGGAAGATCAAAATGGCTTCAAAGTATCTGCACAGACTGGTTGAGTATATTTCTCGGGGGGGCAGCAGTTGTTTTAGCCTGAAAAACACTGTCCTATGTGCTGCTGGCTTGACATACTTTTCTCGTGGACTTTGAATTTTGGTGAATATTGATTCTTGGAACATGTACTCAGAATGTTTGCTTGAGTCAGGTTATCCCCTGAACAATCATTGTTATCCTAAATATTTTCCCTCAGCAGACATTAGTTGTTGGAAAATTATAACCACTTGCAAACAGTGGTCAGCCATAATGTCTCTTTTATATGGTTTCTGAACAAGTTCCAACATAGTGGAACTTCTTATATTTTTACATGCATCTGCCTGTAAGTGGAGGGGAGTTACATTCTGGAGTTACATTGGTGTTAGCAGTAATGCATTACACATGACTGTCATTGATTATTATTGATTACCAAGGCCTGTATACCGTATATCTACTGTTTCCTTGGTCACAGCTGAATCGTATTTATATTCCCTGGCTCTGTGGGGAAGAGGGTTGGAAGGGGAAAGAAGTTATGCAATGTTTAATTTTAGATAGAAGACTCCCCTTCCTCTGCTAGCTTCCTCCTGAATAAGTAATGTAAAGTACTTGTATAATCTCAGAAATAAAGAATAATGCAGACATGATAATGGAGAGGGCATTCTTTCCTATCTTGAGGACTTTGTAATAAATACAATATTTCTCAGCACAGACTGGGATAATCAAATAAAGAAGTCTTTTCCTTAATGATCTATCAGTGGAATGTGATATTTTGGCGCACTTGGAAGATTGAATGCTGGTATGAATAAAGGAAAAGTGATTCCATTGTATATTTTGTTTATACAATAGATATTGCTGACCTATTTCTGGTAGCATTGAGAGCTAAGTGTCATTTTGGTTTTGGAATTGTTGCCTGCTTGCAGTGTCATTTACACAAGCCTTAGTTTAGAGGTTTAGAAAATTGCTTTCATTTGGACATACCCTCGGGTATTGTTGTGATGAAGTTCTGCTATATGAATTTTGTAGAATTATGTGAAACTCCTACTAACTCGCTACTATTGAGTGGATTTTACTTTGGAGAACACTGACACAGTGGACTCTTTATACACTGTAATATGAGATGGGTGGGATTCATCTGTACACAAGATTGTATCGCGCTCTTGCAGAACTGCGTACCCTGCAGCTTATTCTTTAATCAGCTGCTGCAGGAATGTTACACAAACAGAATAGATTTAATATAAAAGGTATTTGTGTTCAAGAAATTGTGTTCAATGCTGGAAACTGCTCTGTATTAGTAGTTAGTAAGTATTTGGTATTTACAGAGCTTGTGTTTTGATTCTGAATTGAAGTGCCCTTGATAATCCAGGGAGTCCATTCATGACAAGGTTTTGGTCCGCAAATACACACACACACACACCAGCTTTAGACACAAAATGTGAGCATTAGTTATTGCTGAATCATTTTGCATAGAATAGCCATGCTGTGTTATAACTCTAATATGATATGTGTGTGTGACAAGGTGCTTGTCACAGTCATCTGTTTTTGGTATTCTGAGCGCACATGGCCTAGATATCTTGTCAGCTGACCTGAGGTTAGAATTAAAGATAAAGTTCCTGTTTCTCAGCTTCTTTCTTACAGAAAAGAAGGAGAATCCTCTCTTTGTAAAGCTCAGCTTTTCACTTGGCTCTGATACGGGTCTTCTCAGAGGATTATTGCTTGTAATCAGACCGGGTGCGACATGTAAGATAAGATGTTTGATGTCACCAGACAATACCCGGTTTAAAACAGTTTTATATGTTTTATAAAGTTTTATGAAGACTTATGCCTTCATAGGTTAACGACTGACACAAAGTCAGTCCTTTTATAACTACTGGCCCATTTTATTTTATGACTATTTCAGCAACCCTAGTAACACAGTAACTTTATTTGGTCACAAAAAGCTAGAAAGGAGTGTCCACAGTACTTTGTTTAAGAATGAGTTTTGCGTGCTGTTAGTGATGGTTTGTCCAGGTGTGATAGTCTAAATGTGTGACATCCTATAGTACAATGTGGCCGAGGCTTAACCCAGACTTGAGTCCAAGATGAGCGTCACAGCTTAATTAAATTGCAGTCCACAGTTTTTCCACTCCTGTAATGACCACCACATAGCAGTATTCTCAGATGATAAACAAAGAGACGCTCACAAAATGACAGTCTCAGTGGTGACTCTGGACCCTGCAGCTGTGTTTGGTCTCTTTCCTCACAGCTGTGGATAGGCCAGGGGCGGGCTGTGCTTTGCCTGTCTTTATGATCACAAAAAGGACCTGTATCACTTGGTTTGACCTAGTTACAATCTTTAATAACTCCTTTATTTATGGTAATGTGACTTATGTTACAAATCTAAGACGAAAGTTAGGACATTCACCGGGACAAACGGCTCTGAGACGTAAGCAGTGGAGGGAACTGCATTGATTCACAGTGTACAGAACCAAAGAAAAAGTACTTTAATGTCAAAGTGACTACACATCTTTACAGATGAATATGAAACACAAAATAATTGATTGCATAGGTATTGGCACACTTTTAAGACAGTTTCTAGTAGAGGCAGTCTTGAGTATATATCAGCTGTGCACAGTTGAACACTACAGTTGTTTGCCATTCTTCTTTGCAAAACTGCTTAAACTTTGTCAAGTTGCATGGAGACGATGAAAGAAGAACAGAACCTACAAAATATAGAATCAAATGTTGAAATATCATTAATCTGGAAAAAAAATATATGTATAAGCAAAAGCATAGTGTGATTTATTTTTTTTTTTTTTTTTTCCCCCTCCATTTTATTTCAAAGTTTTATTTGTCAAGCATGGTTTTCTACCTAAATTATGATAGTTACAGTATAAAGACACACTTGTCTGTTTTGGTATTTTTTCAGTATAGTCATTACTGCCACTGAGAACCACTGCCTTCATAGCCCAGTGGTTCTCAAATCGTCTCACTATGGAACCCACATTTTCCCATGGTCATTAAGTTGCGACCAAATTTTATGGAATTCAAACCAAGCTAATTTATTTCACAAATAGCTTAGTAAGACACAGAAATTATGGGTTATGAACATAAAACACAAATATTTGCAGCAGACATTCATGCATTATGGCATGTGCAAAGGTTTGTGAATCTTAGGAGCTCTGCAGTATCAATATCAGTATCGATGAAATGAAAATAAAACTGCCTAAAATCATAATCCTAACTGTGTGTGTGTGTGTGTGTGTGTGTGTGTGTGTGTGTGTTTTCTTCTTCAGAGTGGATAACTTTTGGCCTGGGCCTGCTGCTCCAGTCTAAGCAGATCAAGAGGATGATCTCTTCATACGTCGGGGAGAATGTCGAGTTTGAGCGACAGTATCTGGCCGGGGAGTTGGAAGTGGAACTCACACCACAGGTTGGTCAGCAAACACATGGGAAGGTTGATACATGAGTGTTCACAAAAATAAGAAAATGATCCCCTCATATAAAAACATATGCTTAATAAGTCCTGACATGTTAAATTCCAACATCCAAATGATCAGACTGTATGTATGATATACTTGACAGTAACAAAGGAATGCAGTTGACATGTATTTGTTGTACTGATCTTTTAATCTGTTACCTTCTTCCCCACAGGGTACTCTTGCAGAGAGGATCAGGGCTGGGGGTGCTGGCATTCCAGGCTTCTTCACAGCCACCGGCTATGGCACACTGATCCAAGAGGGAGGCTCTCCTATTAAGTACAACAAAGATGGCACCATTGCAATCGCTAGTGAGAAGAGAGAGGTAAAGGGTGCTGTCATCCCTGTTGTGGTTGTCCCATCAAGCCCACTATGAAGTCAGAGCAAACTTTATTTTCCTTGGAACAACTGTAGATATTTTTCCATACCTATGCTACATTAATCAGTCAGTATAGGATTTACATTATAACACACACTTAAGGAGGATTGTCAACTGCAATGTGTTCATGTATGTAATGTGGACTCTCTATCTGGGCCAAGTCTGAAAATGCTGTAAAACAGGTCGACATGTTAATTCTTAACCTGCCAACCTACCTTGTCATTGTGTGCAGGTAAAGGAGTTCAATGGCAGGCACTACATCATGGAAAAGGCCATCACTGGAGACTTTGCGCTGATCAAGGCATGGAAAGCTGACAGGGCTGGAAACATTGTTTTCAGGTAGCTGGTGCACTAAACAGAAATATCAACAGATCACACATCATTAGCACTTACCTGTTGCATTATAGCAATGCCAGTGTTTTTCTTGTAAAGGATTCAGCCTCTCCCTGCCTTAAAGCATATTAGACTTAATCTCCTCTGTTGTGTTTGCACAACAACCAGTAGCACATGTTGCTGGTGTCATGGGGTAAGAGTGAAACTATAGTTTAAGGAAAGTGGTTGGTTCTTAGTAATGGGTGTTCACTTAGTTTGACCTTGACCTTAATGTTTATAAGATCTTTGAGAGATATACTGATGTATGGACTGATTATAATCAGTACATTTTCTGTCTGTATTGGCTACATGGTTTTATTTTGTTTGTGAACATATAGTATATACATCAGCTTCTATATCATGAATTATATAAAAAGCACACTTATTTCTAGAGATGATTAGATCCTCACTCAATGCTTATTTAGTTATAGCTCAACAGCATATATACAAGAGCTGTGCAAAAGTCAGAAAAATCTAAATAATGAATCGCTTTTTACACCTGTACATGGATATCCACATTAGCTATAACACAATGTAAATTAATTAAAGATCCTCCATTTAAGCGGGGTAATTTGCACCAACTTGGTGAATGTAAATAATGGAAATGAGTAGATGTAGTAAAGTTTTTCTCCACAAGAGAGCAGTGTCTTCCAGTATTCTAACTGTTTATACTAGGTATTATATTTGGATATTACAGTGAGAGTTTCTGAGTTTCTTTCTCTATTTAGTAATATTTCCCTACCTCCTATTTGTTTTAATATCAAATCTTTCTTGTACTTTTCTGTCAGGAAAACAGCCAGAAACTTCAACCAACCTATGTGCAAGGCAGCCAAAACCACCATAGTTGAGGTATGCGTTTCCAACAACACAGTGATTTACATGTTAACCTGATATGTCAGTAGATATATTCCAGCTACTGACACATATCTATTAGTGGAGCTACCGTCTGAGAGTCTGGACTTCAGCTTTCCTTTAATGGTTTTCATGGATTTTGTAGACTTTACTTTTCTAGGAATGTTGTTATTCTGGTCCCCACAGTTGAAATGGGGATTCAGTGATAAAAAAAAATTTAGTAATGTAAAAGTCTACATTTAACACCTGAACCTTGAAACAAATATACTCAATATACCATGATATAAACATCATAAATTAAAGCCACCTCCTGGAACTGATCTTGAATGAGCCCAAGTGTGAATTTCAGCTGACTAAAATTTCCACCGCTTACATCTTCGAAACCTGTGGAATAAAAACATTTTACTAATTATGTAACTGTAGACCATCCAGAAAATAGGGTAATTCGACATTTGAACCCAACCACACAAACGCAGTAGTCCCCTGTATATCCTGTAGCCAGTAAAGGAACAAAACACAGTCATCATTTCAAATAGATGTTACAGTATTTAACTGCCCTCAAAGGAGAAGGTAGAAAACAGAAATATACTCAAGGTCGGAAATGTGCGACAGCATCTTGTGACAGTAAGGCATATTGGTTTATGGTTGTGGGCTGAAAAATCTTGAATTGTGAATACTGTAGTTTATATTCCTCTGAATATAACTCTAAGACCTCAGATATTATTCAAAGATTAGAAGTTTTAGGATCTTAACCTCTGCCCAAAAACGGAATGAGAATGTCCTGCTATCTCTGGACTTTCTGTGTCATACCTTCTTTCTATCTGTTTGGTTATCCACCTGTCTAGCATTTGACAGTCTAGAAGTGTGATCTCTTCCCACTGTCTGTGTGTGTATGTGTTGGTGTGTCTCTGTCTCCGTCTCCCTCTCCACCCCTCCAACACACAAACAGCTTCACACCTCCCATATAGACACCGTTTGATTTAGAGAGCAGCAGGGAGAAAAGCTGTGTGTGTGAAAACCATAAAACACAGGCGCTTTCTCAAAATAAATCGGTAGGGAAGGGTCTGTCATAAATCTATCGGGGTTTCACAAAGCACATTTTCAATTATTCCACGGTTGCTGGACCTGAGAGTTAGTCTGCTGTTGATTAGAAATGTCTGGGACCAAATGGGGAGAGTAAATTTTCTCACTATAGAGCTGCTGTGGAGGCTTTATGGTCGATTGATCACTAAATTTTGGTTTAGAGTGGTAAATAACACTGGTGTTAATGCATTTTAAGACAACAGTCTTCTGCATACTTCACAACCAAAGGAACAGCTAAATTCAGCTGTTTTGCATCATGCAATCCAGTGACAATGACCACGATGCCATTGATGGATATCGATTCAATTCTAAATCAGTGCTATCGTGTAATAGAAATTGCCCAATTTTCTTCTACTGGGATAATGAGACTAGTTGCTCTGACAGCAGTGATGCCACCAAGAAATGTGTCTTTGTGATGTCTGCTGGCGTTGTGATGTAGCCGGTATTGACATGAATGATAATGCAGCTCTGCTTAGAGAGCCACTTCATGAGATGCAAACATAATTGGTTGGATTTAATATCGAATGGTCTGCTACAACCTTTGTGCACCCAAAAGCTTCTGCTTAGGGTGTTTTTTTGAGTGAAGAGGATGAAACAATTGTTTAACAGGTGTAGAGACCCAGGCTTCATTTGGACTGAGCAACAGAAGTGTTTTTTGATTTTTTTTAATTTTTTATTCCCAGGTGCATTTCTAAGATTGTTTTTGTGGCATTTCTGCTTGCATACAGTGCAGAGTGGCTGCAATGATAGGAAAGAGAGAGAGGAAAGGAATGTCATGACAAGTTGAAAGGGAGATTTAAAACCTACAATATCACAAGCTTCCAGGATGCACCTGACACACTTCACTTAACAAGGTCTGAGAAAAGTTAACACAAACAGCCTCTGCAGACTCTCATGGATACAGAAATAATTGCTTGACTTAATTTTTCGAACAAGGACACTTATAAACAACCTTTTTTAATGGAGTACTAGACATACGTGTATAGCCTAGAGAAATGTCATTATAAATTGCCTATTTATGAAAAAAATTAATGCCACATCTGAATCAATTAACCTCACCCTAAAACACTCCACAGCCTGACATAAATCATCTTATTTTGGGAAAGGGAAGCTCTGCATTTGCATCTGAACTTAAATGAATCCATTTTATATGTAATTTTATGTTCCCTGGCAGCACTAAAACTAGACTGTGTTAAACAACTGTGTCCGTTTCAACCTAGTCTTTGAAGATTTCTCTTTTTTTCCTGTCATCTTCTAATAACATATAGTCCTTTCAGACACTTGTCATCCACATATCAAGTAAATGCTTCAATCCGACAGGGCATTCATTGTAACTTGTGCTGCAGACTGACAAACGATATCAAATAGGATTTTCAAATGTTGAATTGGAATTCAATACATGACAGAACTGTCTTCCTTACATTGTGCGGTTATTAATTTGCTTTTAATTGCTTTTTTAAAATGTGACAGCAAAATCTTGATACTCATCTACTTCAAATTCATGGTATAAAATAATAAACATGTCTCTTAGTTTAAGAGAAATAAAATGAATATCTAATTTAAAATGAAATGGCATTTTAAATGAGTATTTAGAATGATATTCACTGGGTGTGTACTTAGTACTTAGGATCCCATTATGGCTGTCTGAACACTTCGTCTGTTCATCCTATCGGGTTATTTGTCAGATTGTATTCACCATTTTTTTAATGGTACCTTTTTTATGGCAGTGCAGGCAACATCTGAACATTATCTATGACAAGCCTACTTACTGGTGGCAATAAAGATAGATAGACTTGTATTGCAATACCCATTAAGAACCTTTTATCTCGGATACTGAAGCAATTACCATCTCTCTAAAAATAAATGTATCTTCAGGATTCAGTGCATGCTCAGTCATAAATCTGACGATATGCTGTCAATATTGACCCTGGTGCACTGGTGCACTGGTTAAGGCTTGCAACCAACACACAAGGTCAGGGGTTTCTGAAGCAATTCATTTAACTTGCAGCTTAGCTTGGCAGCTCAGGCCAGTGTGCGGCAAGCTCTCTGACGATCATGTTCAACAGTAAGCTGCTTCTATGCTGGACCAGTTTTCTTTCTCTGTAGCCTATACGCAGCAAGGTAGGCTCAAGCTGTTCAGGGGCTAAGCAATTATTTGTTATCAAAGGGCAAAAAAATGTCAAAACATTATGGAGGGCAACTGACAGGACTAGGGGAAATTGGTTAGAACAAAGATGTGGCACTTCTTGGTTTTAGTCAATGACAGCTATTATAACCAGGCCAAAAGAACTGAACTGAACTGAAAAGAACTTGATTTTATTAGATTTAGATCCAGATTAGAGTAGTTTAAATTCCCTCAATGCCCTCAAAATACTTAATCGTTTGTGAATTTAAGTCTCAGCCCAAATCTCCTTATCATTGTGATTGTGGTCATTGTTTTTATTAACGACTAGAATATTACTAGATCGACGTGTGCCAAAGTGAGTTCCATAAATGCCAATGAGCTTCCCCTTGACACATTGAAAAAGCTTGTGCCCATTAGCCTCTTGAATAAAATTTTGTTTGGCCAACCTACTCCTCTGTAATGATTGCTTGAATTACCTGTGCTTGAACCCTTCACTTGCAGAATGAGATGGCAATCTCCACTCTTTTTTTTTTTTTTTTTGTGAATTGGCAAGTTCTTTACTAACACTTAATGCGTGCCACAGTATTTATAATAAGCATATTTTATTTAAATATTTACATATCCTTAACTGTCAGTCAGCAGAGTATCTATTTAATTTGAATTCTTAGCAACCCCTTTACCTAAGGCTCAGTGAATATGTGTGTAATGCCTTAATGCCCGAAGGTCCTAACAGATTTGTAGATATGTAACCTGGTGACTCCACTTCTGTAAGACATTAATGGCAATTCTGGGAAGCAAATTCAAATCATCTGCCAGCAGTCTGCCAGCCGGCTCCCTTTCACGCAAGAGACTCCAGATTTTTCATGTTCAAGATAAATTGATTAATATTAATATACTTCTTGTACATGTGTCGTTATTAACAGATTTAAATTTGTCGATAGCCTTCACTACTCCTCCAGTCACTCAGGTCAGTGACCGCTGGCGTATCATTGTCGTTCCTGGCCCAGTTCTAATATGTACATCTACTTTTTTGTGCTTAATTTAAACTACAAGCGGCAGGAAGGTTGTCAGAGGACGAGATAACACAAAAGCACTTGGAAAATTACCAGATCATCACCAGCTTCTGCCACGGTTGCTAGGCAACCAAACCCTGCTATTCAGTTGTTGAATGTTCCATGGTATCCAGCTGGTCCAGTTATTCCCTTATCACAGGTACAGTGAAAGGCCCCAGTGCATTGTGGGATACAATAGATCAGAGGCTTAATCAAAGCAGTGGGTTCTGCTGTTGTTCGACCATCAGTCACAGCAAATGACTCAACTGTGTTCTGTTACTGTGGCAATGCAGTGTATTGGTGTGGGTGTTGGTGTGCACGTATAACCAACCAGTCATGCATGCATTAATTGAATGAATGTATTTAATGAGTGTGTTTTTGTTCTTTTAACCAGACTAGAGTCCTAATTGGTTATAAGTGACCTCCCTTCCTCAGGGGTTTCACCCTCAGCTTTCCACTGTACATTTGTGTTGAAACGAAAATAGCAGCAAAAAGAACTACACATTTGCCAGATACAGGCAGTCGCAGTTTTCAGTTATGATTTGGGAACCTGGGAAGTCTTTTCTGTGGTTCAGAAAGCCTTGTCTCCTCACTTCTGGAATTTTGATTATTTTTCACAATCTTAATGCTATTTTACAACCCTTACAACGCCTTGTTTCCGTTTCCGTGCCTTGATCTTGGCTTGTGCCCATGACTAACTCTATTACTCAAGCTACTGTTGGCAAATTATTATAAAT